TGATAAGCTGTCGCTCGTTGATTGCGTCTAACTGAAACTTTTCGTTAATAGTCAAGTAACAGTCTACAGCAGCTCTTTAAACATACCTCATATTTCAGATTTTAGCTGTATATTTTATCCCATTCCAGCAAGAGATGAAGTCGTTGATGAACTGCAAGAAGACTTTTGCAGGGAAAAGTAACTGTTTAAGATGCAGAGCAACTCTTTTTGAATTGTAAACGAGCACCATATCCAGCATCTTTTAAATTTCATAAGCTAATGGGTTTAAAAAGTTCTTTTATTAATTTACCAAATTGAAGCTCATAAATCTAAAACTCATATTAGCAGCTTCGATACATCCATTGTAGGAACTGCTAAGTAAACAACATTAATTACAGGTTTAGCTCCATATAAAAGTTTACTGAGGCTGGCCGGAGATTCCTCTACTCAACTTGAAAAACAATATATTCTCCAAGAAGGCTTCACAGTTATCTTCTGGTGATGAAATTGAAACCGAAAGCAGTCTTACTTTAAGAAATTACCACCAGTTCCCGAGTTTCGCTTTATTTTAGTCTTTGAGTACGGCGCTCTGCCCTCGTTCCCAGTCAAAGACTTTTCCTGTCTTTATCAGCCAACTTTGAAGTCTAGTATGAACAAATCTCGTAGTCCCGCCGAAGCGCTTTGAGGTACTCTGTTCATTTCTGCAGAGAAGCATTTGCTTCCTTCCTTGATTAGTTTTCTAAAAGTTCTTGAAATTTTTTGCGGGAAGTAAACGTATTTGCATTCACAGAACAGTCATATTCAGAAAACGCGTAGGCAGAAACATGGCGGCCGTGGCAAACTTAAGTAAACGTGGAGCTACAAATAGAAATAGGATGATTTTTTTTCAACAAATAGGAATAGAATAAGCTTCTTCAGCATTGCTCCGGTGGAGGTAACGGTACGCTTCCAAGCCTTGCCTATGTTGCGACTTTGCGATCACAACGATTACGATGCAGCAGAACACTAGCAAATTTAAGAGTTTTTTCTGGGAGAGTCAACAAGACAAGTTATTAGAGTAAATTAGCTGTTTATGTCTCATCCAACTAGAATCCCACCTTTGTTGAGAAAGCCTCTGCGTCACTACTGTCAGCTGTAAAATGAAATCAAATAAGCGAGTACTGCAGCTGTGCAAAGCTTTCAGATAATCCAATATGAAGAAAATAAAAATCGCAGAAATTCAAAGCAAGTTTAATTTGGACGATTAAAATGAGAGTATTTCTAGCTCTCTTTTGGACTGTGTAGTAGAGAAACAAGCATTTTTAGCTTAGCAAATCTTTACGTTGCAGCACAAAAAATAGCACTTCTTGTGGCACAAAATTCTTTGAATTTTACGATGGATTTCACCAGCAGTATAAAGTGATACTTAGAACGATGCCGGTGATAAGTCAGTAGAAAAGTGACAAAGACTTCTGCATTTTTCTTCTCAATTTTTAGTCTTGGTTCAATAAACAATAATTTTATTTTAAGTTATTCTCGTGAAAGTAAGGATTTCAAGCAGTCATAAGGGCCTACTAAGGCAAAAGTCCGCAGAATTGGAAGTTAAACCAGTGCCGTATCTGATGTTAGAAGTGTCGCGACCATATGCGAAACGACAAATTTGAAGCAAAAGGTGGTTAGGTACTGTACGCTCCTCGAAGGAAGCTCTCAGAGAAGCGATAGAAAAGGTCACTACAGGAATCGCTCAGGTACATAAATAGGTGGTGGAGTCCAGTATTTTTCATTGTTATTATTGATGTAATCCGTTGAGATTATTGCATACGGTGTGCCTTGTGTCACTTCATGTAAGTGCCCGTAGGCAGATTGTAATTCTATGCTGTTTAGTTTTTATCAATGAGGAATAACTGTGTTTACTTCTTGTTGATTATTTGTTTACACTATGCAGTTTTAAGTAGTTATTGAGACTACTCTCCTCAGGTGCATCATTACGAAATGTAGCAAATAAATTAGTTAAAGAAAATAGAGAAAATACCTACCTCTTCTATCACACGGTGTGGCTCGGGTTCAGTTTGTTTAGCGAAAAGGACAGAAGGTTAAGTCAGTTCTTTTTAAATAAGCGAAGTGGTGGTTCCATTATAAAACCAGAAGGAACTGGACAACGGTCAGAGGCTTAAAGCTCGTCTTTCACCGCTTCAGAGGTGTTTTTTTTTCTTCGAAAATGAGGTTTTTCGCGCAAAAGTCAAGTATAACTCATTCCGACTGCGACTCTGCCAGAGACTATCGCGGAGCAATTGAGTACATTGATGGAGACCTTAATAATTACCATATTTTCTCCTTCAACAGCCAGAGCAAGAAAGAAAAAAAAAAGGACAACATTACGTGAAAATCAATTTTGAAACGTAAAGGAACATAAACATTTCTTAAACTTAACTTAGAAAATGAAAGGAGAATAAGCCCAAAAGTATAGAAAAAAACAACGAAACAGGTAATTTGCTTCCAATGTGATGCGACCCATTTATGGCTCGGTGGTTTTTGGGTAAAATGCCGGCTTCAGGGGCAGCCACAACTGAGATTACTGTCAGACTAACTTTTTAAAAAAAAAAAGCAAGTGATTTCTGAAAACTGTCAAGTTTTTCTGGCTGCTAACTACGGTAATTCACCTAATTCACGATTACAGCAAGAGACCAAAACTTGAAAGAAATTGAATTGTATAACTATTACACTGAGGAAGGTCGCGCACAGTTTTTTTTTGCAAAGAAGACACTACCCACGCGGAATTCTTTTTTGACAGTCAAATTCTTTACAAAAAAATTCTAAAAAAATTTATCTTTCATGAGTTCTACTGATTTTATTTTATTTTTCATTTTTATTTTTGACCTTAAATGCACAAGGAAACGTTCATGTTGAGGTAACTAGATCTCCTGCACAACAAACGTCGATCTAAATGAAGCTTAATTCTGATTAGGATTTATTGCGAAGGTTGAGTAAACAAAAAAAATCCCTCATAGAACGGCATTTTATGCAACAGCCTTATTTGCTTGCAGCGGCCGTCACCAAAATCACCAAAATGTAGAAATCTTTATGAGCAGAAGAAACTTAAGAATGGATAGATGAGTTTAAGAGAGGGGTAACTTTTGTTATCCCGGTAAACGTGATTATCAAGTGAATATCAAGTGGATGAAACAAGCAACCAACTGTCCGGCTCGCACCAGCATGGCCAGGTAACGGCTCTTCAGACGCATCCACTCTCTTGCTGGTCTCTCATAATCCCAGAAGAGCGTACTCTCTCTGTGCTGTTCCTACATCTCTTAAAAGTATTACAACAAGTGGCTTCAGGTGTATATATGTGTCAACGCAAATAACACCCTGACTTAAATTTTGAGCTAAAAGCAGTATGTTCGTCTAATTCAGCATGCACCCTTCTCGGCAAAAATGGTTTTTACTCCTGCAATTTAACAATGACCTCGAGCAGTGTACACCACGTCACAGTTAACATCTTAATGATATTACAAGTCCAAAGCAATCATTACCATTACTTAAAACAACCAACATTCAATGGATGACGAGCACAGTTTCTGGATAATATTCGTCAGAAAAACTACAGAAAGCTATTGTCAAAAAAAAATTTAAAATTTAACAACGAAAATAAAACGTACAAACAGAAGTCGTTCTTTCAGTACAATATCACAGTACTAACTACCAAAGACTTATTTAAGAAAAAACTTCCACTTTCCGAGCAGAAGGTTTGCGTCCGCTGAATACATTCCCAAACTGAGGAAGCTGTTACACCTATTTGTTAAACGTGTTGAATAAGAATAATTAACGAAGAACAGTTACGACCACAATATGGCATGCAAAAAGGTGCCGAGTTTATACGCACTGAGCAAACAAGTAAAAGAGAGGACAATAAAGAAATGTTCGAATCGGAATACGAATTAATTTAATCAAAAATGATCTTTTACCCATGTGAAGAGTTAAAGTCAAAAATACTGGTTAAAAAGATAACAAGATCAGCATTTGGTAAGCGAGAAGAAGGCCCGTAAAGGAATGTCATATATTATTCACCAACAAATGATCAGAAAAACTGTAAGAAAGAAAAAAGAAAGAGAACCGGGTAAAGTAATATGATTAAACTTTAGGAAATTTATACATTACCAAAATAAAGGAAAAATCATGTTCACTTAAATGCTCTTCAGAACTGGACGTAATCGCTCAAAAGACCTGCACTGCACCGTCGAGATTCGCGCAAAATTCGCTTTGACTCTCTTAACTCTGAAAACCTCTTTATTGTCCTGTAATTTTTCAAAAAATGTGCCTCAAAAAAGCTGTTTGCATTCCAAAGAAACCATTTCTTATTTTTTCAAAAAACTGCTTTTTTAAAGAACTTCCTGAGCGATTATTAGTTTTTCTTATCAATACTTATTGAGAATAAAATTTTTCAATTTAAATCAACTAATACCGTACTTATAATAGCGTTAAAAAGCTTCTTTCGAGCTCCAATTGTTGAAACACCAATATCTTGCAAGCTTTTTTCATCTAGTAATAAAAAAGCTTCCATATCAATCTGAAAGAGCTTTGTTAACGATTACAGCGCTACAAAACTATGACCGTTGCAAACAAGGCAGCACGTACATTCTATTTAAAAGCATAAGCAAAGACAGAGTTGTAGGTTCTCACTAGTATGCAAATTCTAGTTTGAGGTGTACCAGCAACACATCAATATTCTCCCTTCCTTTTTTGTAAGTGAACTCAGTTACTCTTTTAAAAACACTCTTCATGATCACAATGAACAGGTAGTGTCAGAAATAAGTTTTTAAAAAGAGAAAATAATTTTCTTCGCAGGTACCTCTTGCTCTCTGAACTGTGGTAAATATTCACTGCAGCCTAGTTGGGCAAGAACCATTGCTGGATCAACAAATACTCGAATGTCCCATTTCACGTCATTACCAACATCAAAGACACTTGTTGATGCAGAAAAACCTAAAGAAAAGCATGTTAAAACAAATTTTTTCCTTTATTAGATTTTGAAATGGTCCTTATTCTGACGAGAAATAATTCGAAAAGTAAAGGATCACCCTGCTTTGGCTGCCATGAGAGAGACTGTTGGAGGTGTTGAAAGTTGTGAAATGAGGATGAACTGAGAAAAGAGTTTGAGTTTGAACTAGAATTACCATTATATTCGTCTTCTTCAAGTACCGAAGAAAGTCCATTCGTGAACTGTGACTGAACGTATAATACCTTACAGTAAGTTCATAAATCAAACTCAATAAACGCATTATTTTATTATAGTTTTTTATTATAGTTATACCGTGGCGTCACTGACTTTCGACTCTTGAGAAATATATGTACGCGCCTCAAACTGACCATTGGCAGTACCATCAAAAAGTCCCAACCCATTCTTTAGAACTTCAGCAGGCAGAGAATTACTGAACCCATAACCAGCCCAAAAATCCGTTGGTTGACGAACTGGAGTCAGAGAAGGATCATAGGTTGCTTAAACCAAAGAAAATAAATAACTTTCATATTAGTAATAATGCGAGCATCTTGAGTTTTATAACATCTTTTAAAGCAGAATCACATCTGTTTCTCCCTTACTGAATTGGAAAGATATTCCCACTATAAAAGAAGCTAAATTTTTTGCTTATATCGCAGTAATAGATTACAAAGCTAAAAAATGAATTAACATTTGAGAGCTGTTGTTAATCTAAGGTAGAAAACAAATACCTCGATTAGCTTTTAGCAACAACTGTTCTCTCGACTGTGACCTCTTCTGAGCACTGAAAATAAAATTTCAAAGTCCCTCTATAATCTACAAACTTTACTGTAAGGTGTCACATAAAATAACTTTCCTAATTTTACCGTACTTTAGAAAAGCAATGCTTTTTTAAATGAAATGTTAAAATGTTTTTACAACATACGAAAGACAACTATTTCTTTCCTAACTTGGAACTTCCATAAAAATTACTGTAGGCTTGTTTAAGAAGTGGCTTTGAATAGAAAATTTCAATGAATTTTTCACTTAAAGAACAATCACAGTGCACTAAATAACTTGATGAACACGAATATACTAACCGTTTTTCATCGATTCTTTTTGCACCGGCTAATACGGAGTGAGCAATTGGTGAGTGAGTAGGATCAGGAGTTTTTTGTTCGAAATGACTCTGAATAGGTCCAATTGATTACCATAGAGCATAATAAAAGACAGAGAATTCAAAAATACTTTTAATATTCTACAACTAGTCTTATTTTTGCAAAACTAAAACAGAATTTTTCTTTCTGCATATTAGCTTCACAAATATATACCATTGTGATTAGTCTTTAAGTAAAGCACAAAGGGAAACCTTTTGGCATATACTATTACTGAAGGATTGATCTATGAGCGATTCAGCCAAAGCAGACTGATTCTCGTTAGCTAGAGAATTCATATCGCGAAAAAGATGCGGTAAAGAAACAGAATCATTTTTTTTAAGTATGGCATGACCTGAAAACTATAGACGTATGTGCAAAAAAGTAAAAGGACTGTCTGCGGTTTGAATACGGCGACTGCTGAAGTAAAAAAACGCTTGATTTTACTAAATCCCCTCACTTCCTGTCTAATCTTTCAATCAGACTTTATTTAAAGAGTGTTTTGAAGGCTCCATCTAATATTATATACTATTCGGTAATGTATACATTTACGACTTTTCTCCATTGAAAAATCGCTTGCAAACAACAAATTAACCTTAACTGACGCAGTCAGAGAGAAGTCTTCATTAATGACATGGCAAAAAACCAAAAATTCAACGAAAATTGAAAGTTTTTTACACGCCATAACCTCCCCTATTAGATTATAAAAAGTCAGTTATGCATATTAGAAACAGGCTCTTCAGATTTTTTGATACGTTTTTGAAGTACAGTAAAATACAAATTAAATGCGAAGAAGCTTAAACCGCTACTCTTGTGTTGGTCGCAAACATTATTGGTGCGTAATCCTTCCAAATTTCCAGAATCTGCAATTAATCGTGGACTAAAGCTCCTGTTCTCATCTATTTGATCATGTAAGTTCCCTCGAGATTCTGGTAAGATATTTAAAATTCGTTCTCGCACCCGAAAAAGGTCCGACACATAACGCTCTGTGCTTACCACCACGACCAGCTTAACAAGATATTAAACTAATGAATCCCATCCAAAATTGCCCATAAAAGTTTTAAAAAGTTGAACAAAAAATGAAAAGATACAGAATTAATAGAAAATTAGCTTGTTCTGTAAAGTATGACAGGATAAATAAAAAGTTAACAATAACACTCAACGACAACAAATTATAAACTGACCGACACTTTAGACGGTCCTTGACACTTCCTCCACTTTTCGGAAACCGTAACACCGTAAGTCGCCTCTATGACATGTTTATCAAACAAATCGCTATTAGGTTCTACTACACGATCGAAATGAACTGAGACCGGTAGCAGGCCCTACATAAAAAAGCAACTAAAGATAATTTACTCTAAAAACCTCACTCTGTAGGAAAATGACCATTCTATAGCACTACCAATTAACAATAAACAGCATACCGCACAGACGAAAAGAACTTCAAAAAACTTGCAGATTTTTAAATTAATGCTCTTATTAAATCAGGAGGAAAAGAACTATAAAGTTGTTGTTAATGGCTATCTCATAATTTACAATAAGGCTTCTTCGAGCATGAAGGATTCCAAAAATTGGGCCAGAGATGTGGATATTGATTTCATCCGATTCATTCATAGCGGGCCGAATAGTAGTATTTGTCTGCGCGCTCAAATGTTGCAATGAATCATCCTTATTAACAACTGCTCGTAATGAAGAACGTACTGTCAAAACTGTTTGACAAGGAATATTCAAGGGGCACTAAAAACTTGCAAAAAAAAAAAATGATTCCAATTTTAGCTGTAAGAATGTGCAAATTCCAAAACCACAACACCATTTTTGAAAAAAACAGCAAATTTCCGAAAACAATTTATCAAATAAATAATACTGAATGATTACCTGAAAGAATTTTGCAATCTCTCCTACCGACTTTACGATGGCACTTTCATACTGTTGCGTGCTTTTGATGAAACATGTCAGATGTCCGTCATAATTCTCCCGAAACGTTATATAAATTCCTTTAGTGTTAACAGACTTTTGAATGTCGTGAAAGGATTGATAAGGCCTATTCGGCAACTCAAAAGTTAAGCTAAGAGGAGTCAAATCCTATAAAAGCCGTTCTTTAAAACTAGTATTACAGTGGGTTGCTTTGGAAAACGATTACTAAAAAATGTGAATAAAAAATTAAAAGAAACTTACACGCAACCATTTCCGAGCACGCTCAACTTGCTCTACAGAACCTGATATAGAAACCTAGAAAATCACAGTAACTAAATAAATAGTTTCCAAAGAAGTGCAGTGCGGTTTTACAAAATGTTTTTTCCCCTGCGCAGTGAACTAATAAATTCAAAAAACCTGATCATTTTTTTCAGCTTCATGATTTTTATTAGAGTCCGGGAAATGAATATGACACATAGTTTTGCGCATGATATCTTGAGTATTGCGACCTTGCCGTCCGATGATCTTAGAATGTTCGGAATGGTGGATTTCAATTTTGAGAGTTACTCGATCACGCTAAAACATTATGTAATTGTAACAACATTGTTAAAAGCTTGCAGGGTTAAAAACCTTAGCATTTTCGTTGAATTCACTAACAAATTGACCTAAAGAAAGATCATTCACTTTCAAGACTAACTTTTATCTTTAAGTAAGTATTGATCATTTGACGAGCCCCATCGACCTGAGATGGTGTTCCAGAAACTTTCACAAAAGGATCTGAATATGTTGAAAATAGCTGTATATTAAAAAAGATTCCCTAACATCGAGAAACAAAACCTTTTTTTGTTTTTGCTCCAATTTTTAGACGGCTTGGCCAGTATATTTCTGCTCCAGTACATTCTGCCACCTAAAACTAACAAACTTATGCCCGTTTTTTAGCGAACGAAGAAGGCTACAAGTGCTATGGAATGCTTAATTCAAAGCAACGTTCAATTTTTTAAGCAGCAAGTTCCACTTTGATTCTCAATTTGTTCATTTCTAAGCTTGATAATTTTAAAGTTATTATGCTCACTGATATGCTGTTAGTGACAACAACTTTTAACTGTCTGCTAACATGTGACAACATGAAATTTTAATTATTTCCATCAGTGCTACTTTACTAAAACACTGCTACATGTCTGAAACAGATAGTAACAAATAAAGAACTCGTTTCTTCAATTTTTCATTATTACTCGATCTACACTGCTTAATTTCTATGTTTTAAAAAGAAGTATTCAGCCGCCAGAAAGTTATTTCAAATAATTCTCTCATCCTTCCTATTTAACATAAATCTTTTGGTAGATGTGAAAACTTTCTTTAAGCAAAATTAATAAGACATATAT